GCAATTTGATGTCGATTTTTTCAATTATAAATTTTTTGGTTTCAATTTTGAATTTTGTTTTATTTGAAATATTTCTTATATAATTTGGTAGTATGTAATATAATCTACTGGAAAGGTAAGTATGACATCTTTGGTCTATACTGTTTGAGGTGAAAGGTGTTCGCTTAATGTTGTTGATTTTGTTTCTAGTTTGATATAAATGATCTAACGGAATAAGGTTATTTCTATCGTGAAATTGATAATTTATAATTTTATAAAAAAATTGTTGCCTAGGGTTTGCTTCAGAATACAACAGATCAGATGGGTATAAGAGTGGTTTGTTGAAGATTATTTTTAAAAATTGTTTTTGGATAATTTCTAATTTATTAATTTGGTTATCAAGTGCTCCACCCCAACATATTGCGTAACTTATACGACTTTCGATCATATCATCGTATATTCCATTTTAAATGTAAGTCTAATATGAAAATAAAGATACGCTTATACTCCTACCTTTTTTCCGAAGCAAGACCTTATACTTTTACCTTATGCTTCCGAGGATATGCTTCTCTCTCATGAATACGGCTCATCGTTGGAATTGATCAGGAATGGTCTTAAATGTCGAAAGAGACTTACGTGCTCCAGCTCAACTCCTTCGTATAGCAAGTTGGTGTGGTCAACTGAGGCGGGTACACTTTGTCAAATAATTATTTTAGATGACGAAAAGTATTTCACTGTGAGAAGTTCTGAAATGAAGGGAGACGACGGATTTTATACGGACAACGTAGAGGAATGCCCTGACAATGTTAGATACAAACATGAATCGAATTAGGCAGAAAAAATTCTTGTGCGGTACGCAATTTCTAACATTTTGTGAAAAAAGTGAGAGGTGAAGCTTTGAATAGTCAGAGCTATATAAATGACTGCCTTTCCAGATTGCTTCAGGTTGTCCAAGAACATCATGCTAATGACTCAAAAGATACCCAAAACTGGCTTGGACAACACAACATACCTTTTGTTCCCAAAAACGATAATCCTCTAAACTTGCCCCAGGCTCGCCCAATAGATTTTTGTGTTTTTTGTCTAGGAGGTCTATCATGGAGGCTGGGCAGCCCAAGATCAAGAACAATTAAGACCGCGAAATCACGAAAAACTGAGAGAAGGACCTCATGAGGGACATTCGAGAAAGTTGCGTCTCATAGAGCAGAATGAGCCACTCCACATAATTCGATAGTATATTTTAGTTGAGTATTGGGTTGTCATATAATGACTAGTTAGTGTTTAAATAAATTTCTTCATAAAAAAAATCCGATAATTGTTTTGTGCCGAAACTTTCAGGACATACGTTAGAAGCTAAATAGGAGAATAAAAGGTTACATTTTCCACAATTGGGTGATGAAATTAATACACATTCCAATAAATTCTCTTAATATTTAAAACTATATGATGATGCAATAACTTCATATCTAAGTTTCCTAGGCTATATTGACTGCATCGAATAACGAAATCTGTTCGATGACACAGACTATATTCTTATTCTTTACTGTTGCTTGTTTCTTTTTTTGTAATTATATTGAAATCGTAAGGTATTTTTTCGAATCGATTATTAATCTCGCTCGTATAATGTATCCCGGTATCCTGAGAACCATGTATCTCTCCAACTGATATGATGAGTTGTTACTCATGTCATTTATCAATTATCGTAATCTTTCTGTTTTCTTTTAAGCGTAATTAATGAATAATACTTACAAATGAATATTATTGGAATAATTGAAACTCATCGAAGCTCGTCACAAATTGATCTTGTTGTAGTTGCATTTCATTATACAGGTTGGCCGATATGTAATTGACTGGTTTGTATCTAGAATAATTGTGAAATGAAACAAAATACGCTTTTCACCTTGATATTTTATTGAAACTTACATTTTTCAAAAATCCCCATAAAAAACACGAGTCGCTAAATCCGGTGACCTTGGTGGCCAGTCGACATCACCAAATCGAGAATCTAAACGCCCTGGAAATATTGTTCGCAAAAGGTTTATTGTTTCATGTTTTGCAGGTTAGATTGTTGGATTTAAGAAGTTTTGCACCAAATCACGGTAGCGCTCGCCAGTGACAGTACTGCAGCGTCTTCACAGAAGTAAGGTCCAATGACACCTCCATACAAAACGCCGCACCAATCTGTGACTCGACGAGGATGTACTGGTCGTTGATGGATGACACGAAGGTTCTTTAATGCTCAGACATGACAATTGTGCTTATTAACAAATCCGTTCATATCGAAGTAGGCTTCATCGTTGTCGGTAAAAATCGTTATTTTTTGTACTAAGCTGCAATATTGCATGACTCAATTTCATGGTCACTAGGCTGTAGTTCTTGAGTTAACTGAATTTTGTATGGCCGCAACTCTTTTTTTAAAATGACGCATGATGACATGCGACGAATACCCAGTTCTTGAGAACGATGTCTGGTAGACGTCTTAGGGCGCTGCACTACACTTTCACAAACTCGCTCGATATTTTCCGGAGTACGAACAGTTCAAACACGGCCCGACCTTGACAAGTCTTTAACTTCATTGGCTTAATCAAATTTTCGCATTAACTGACGAATGGTGTTCACAGTGGGCACATTATTTTGACAGAAACTTTTCGTAGCTTCTGAATCGTTGCAGCAATCGACTCATTATTTAAGTAAGAAGTTTTAACAATACGGACGCTTTGTGGGATCGTCTAGCGCTCCATGATGAATTGGACACATGTGCCTTGAACAACTACCAAGGCGCCACCTACTGAAATGTGTGTATCAAAAATGGTGCGCAATTTACATCAGTCAGTTATAAATTGTCCACCCCGTATGTGTGTATTTTCAATCCTCTCATACACTGGCTTCAATTGCCTAACAATTCTCAAAAATTATCTGTATGTCGAAGAAGACTATTTTTTTTTCGCGAACGACTTTACTGCTAATGAACTTTTCTAATAGAGAACATCAAAATCTATTCAGCAGGTGCTGGAATTACTTGGTGATAGAAATACCAACGGACAGGCAGACAGGGATACTGAAAGATGGAAGGTAATGATATTCATGATGTTTAGATCATAAAACAGAAAACATAATCAAAATGGATAAGAATCATAATATACCCAAATGAAATGAACACGTTGCAGGGAAACTCTTAGTTTTTATTCGACATTACTGTTATTTGGTAATTTGGCATATTATCACTTTCCCATAATCACCGACGCGAAAAGAAACTCGTTTTATAATACTCGTAATTGCATTTAATTCGTCATCTATACAAGTTGCAGTCTAACAAAGTGTTAATGGTATAGGTAAAGTGAATTTTTAAATAAGCTTAGAAGAATCGCTTATTCGTACTGAAGATTGGGTTGTATTCCTTTTTCACTCTGCAACAAAAACGTCCTTATTAGAAATACGATAGAAATATGGTGATCAAAACATAAGACTAAGAAGTGTGGATACATACAGACAAGTGGTGATTAGAAATTATTGGCTAGGATGCTTTTTCGATTTGGAACGTTTCGTCGTTGTAATGCTTTGCTGCCTAGTACATGTAATATAAAGAGTGACAGAAAATTTGATTCGACCTGATAAAACATCTCAATCATCATTCATCAGTACAGTCTCTTGAGTTCGGAATTTCGCGTCGCTTGATCGATAGTGTGAGTTAATTGTTTTAATCTGCTTTTCCAAATACTGTGTTTTGATAGTAGAAAATGATTAGATAGATATTTGCAGGTAAGCCTTTACATGTATATTTTCTTAAATGCAACGATCCTAGGTTCATCTTTCTCATGAAATTGTTTCAATTATATAAATATATTCTGTATCCTCGCTTAAGGGATAACACCACTGTAACTCCCTGAAAAGGAGATTTTTGTCATGTTTATTGGAGGCACGCAGCCTAGCTGCGCAGATTTAGATTTAGAAAAAAGGAATAACTCATTGTTTATGTTTATAGCTATGTAAATAAATACGTAAATGGTTTCAAAAATATTGATTTTTAAGTGTAATATTTGAATAAAAACGTTTAATTTCAGACAAAAATTGTTTGCTTTTGCTCATCGAAAATCACCTAAGTATTTATTTCCAAAATGTTATTTTAAAGATATTGTAAAAAATTCGAATGAAAAGAATATTTGTTCGAAATGCTGAGGCGCCGCCATTTTTGAATATTTCTTTTTTTTCTGTTACTCAAATATATACCTTAAAACTTCCTCTATTGTTATTTATTACCATTTTTTCTACCAATAAAATGACAAAAAATACTTATTTTTAGGCCGTTACAGTGGTGTTATTTACAAATCAGGTTTTCGAAAAATTACTTTTTAAAAAAATACTTATCAACTTCAATACCATTTATGAACATGTAAATTACGCTTAACTTTACAAAGTAGATATATTTTTCATAATTTTTTCCAATCAATAACAACATGGGAGTCCCGTGCCCAACATTTTTCTCTGCTTGACCACTCCTTTCATTGATATTACCCTAAAACCAGTCACGTCAAAATTCAAGCCATCACATCCATAATTGAGCTTGTGAAATGCAAATTGAAATTAATGCGATCAGCTAACGTTAATGGTGTGTACCAGCAGCAGTCAGTCTATTCAAGAAAGAGCCCGGATGCAATGCGCATAAACCGAGCTGACAGCCGACATGATGGTGTTGTTTCTTTGAATATAATGCCGAGTTGCTATCTGGTGATCATCTGTTGTTTTATTACCCTCGATTTGCATGCGTTTGCATACTAAGCAGGACGCTACAGTAACTGCATACAGAGTGAATGTGTGGCTCTTGTTGGGCTTTTAGCACAGTAAGTACACAAAAAGTAGCCAACTGAAGCCAAAAACAAGAAATTCTTTGAAAGAACGTATTTCTTGAAACCTCTTTTTTGTAGGTCGGAGCTTTGGAAGGGCGACACTATCAGAGCAATGGAACCTAACTGGACTTGAGTGCACAAGATCTAGTAGACTGTGCTGATGGTACATATGGTAACATGGGATGCAATGGAGGGCTCATGACTACGCATACGATTACGTCCAAGACAAAGGAATCCTCACAGAAAATGAATATCCTTACGAGGGACTTACAGAATGATGCAAGCAAAAAGGAAGTGGATTCAAAATAAAATCGTATGTCAACGTTACCATTAAAGACGAGAAGGCGCTTACTCAAGCAGTTAGTGAGTCTCGAGGTCTAAACCTCTAATGATATAATTTCCTGTGTAATTAGTATTAGCTTACAGTTCCATAACTGACTATTCTTGCTGTGTTAAAATGTACTATTACGATAGCTTGGAAGAATTGCTTAGGTAATCAAAATAGATATTTTGATAGCATTATACATTTATTATCTTCATTTTTATTTATGGTTTATTACAGCAACCACAGGTCCAATATCATGTGCTATTGACGCCAGTTACCTGTCGAGTTCTAGTCTCGAAGGCAGCACATGTGGCTGAGTGCGACAGGTAATCCATGAATCATGGTGTTTTGGTGGTTGGATATGGAGAAGAGAAAGGCATCGAATACTGGATAGTGAAGAACTCATGGGTTGCTGACTGGGGAGAAAAAGGATACTTCAGGCTGAAGAAAGATGGCCAGAACACATGCGGAATTGCTACAGACTCTTCCTACCCTCTGGCATAAACTAAAACCATCTAGATATGAGCCTTTATTTTTCAGAGGTATTCAGAATTTGAAGTATCAGATTCTCATGTTGAGAAGCTTTATTGACAAATAAATATATTTTTATATCAAATGCACAAATACCTCTATACTATATTTCTATAGAATGCGGTTTGCCACATTTTTGGTATTAAACAGTCGGAAAATATCTCCCGAAACCATTGTACGAACATCTAATATCAGATTTGAGAGATGGCCAGATTTTGTCAACAAGGTCAGGAGATCTCCCTATATAATAACAGTGATTCCTAATTGTATTAAGTGTTTCTCAGTAAATGACACATGTGTACATTAATGAAGAGTTGATGAACATTGTTTTAGCGTACGGAGAAGCAGGGCAAAATTAGCGAGCGGCTTCTCGTTTGTACGTACATCGATTTCCGAATAAGCACATACCACATCACAAAACATTTAGTTCAATTGTTTTACGTGCACGTGCTAGTGGATATTTGTACCCCAGACGTGGAGTGAATGGAGGTCGGGTTCGCCCACAACACGTTTTAAATGCAGAAAACGAAATTTTGGATACTGTGGAAGAAAATCCGGGAATAAGCACAAGGCAGTTAGCTCAGCAAGTCAGAAGTGTCACATGCAACAGCGTGGCGCATATTACATATTATTTTATCATCTCGATTTCTGTAGGTCTATTATTTCATTTTTTTTTTTTTTTAGTGAAATCAACTTCTTTCGTAACAGTGCAAATGTGATTAAAATTAGTCGGATAAGTTGTGAAACACGCTGTATAGTTGACTTCGTATCTCTTACAGTTTCTGAGATCCCAATAGCGAGGGTCGAATCTGAAACACCCTGTATAATACATACAGTCAACTAACTAGAGATTATGAAACACGTACTCAAAAGGTCGGTTTTACGCTCTTAAGTCCCGTATCGTCAGTCGACCTTACAATTATAGGGCACGTTTATGGCCTCCTTGATTGTCATACTCCTTTCTCTCCTTCAAAAATTTCTAGATTACACTTGTCCCATGTCTCAGCGCTCTCCTATTGTGAAGATATGTTTTCTTCATTTGATGCTGTCACAGTGTGGCTATTTCTATGAACGAATTTTTACTCAACGATAACGTTCGAGATGAGCAGAAATCTGTATTTGTGACGTCATCTTAATAGTTGTATTTTTAGTTCCGCGACCTTCTCATGGATGGCGACATCATAGCTTCGTATTTAGTAGGAATTTTGAGTATAGTATTTTGAGAGTTTTTTGTTACAGAATTACCTTAAAATCATGTAAGAAAAGGTATACGGATGAAATTTTTTTCAATCGGCTACTCTCCAATAGATGGCGCTGCATATCGGTAGCCCTCACAAAGTCCACCATTTTGAATGACTACTTTGGGCTGCGGAAATCCGTTCAGGAAGCCCCAATGCATGTGAGGAGGAGAACGCTTTGTTTTTCAACAAAGCCAAATCAATACGTAATATTAGATAGAATAAACTAATCCAAACAAAATAATCTTTTCATCAAAAAATGTGGGGATTTTTAACCCCCCTCGCGGAAATTTAAGTTTCTTGATCTTTGAGGATTCGTCGCCATAGACCCATCCCGAACCCCGACCAACCTCACCTAAAGGATCTTTTTGACTAGTTAAATTTTGTGCGGTCTGTGATAACACTTCACTTTAGAAAGAAGCTCCATCTATGGGATGGTAGCCCAACTGTACGATTTTTTTTTTGTCTAGTTGAAAATGCACAGAATTATGTTAGCTTAAAATCATTTAAGAAAGGTATACGGATGAATACCTTTGGCTGCGGAAATCCGTTCAGTAAGCCCCAATGCATGTGAGGAGGAGGACGCTTTGTCTTTCAACAAAGCCAAATCAATACGTAATATTAGATATAATAAACTAATCTAGACGAAATAATATTTTCATCAAAAAAATGGGGAAATTTAAGTTTCTTGATCTTTGAGGATCCGTCGCCATAGACCCGTCCCGAACCCCGACCAACCTCCCTAGATCTTGGTTATAAGAGGCTAAAGGCCCCTTTATAATCAACATAGTGGCCTCTACCAATGGTTGAAATACTTATCTCCTGTTCCCAATAAAACTCATTATACTTGTGAAAGTGTTGGTTGATTGTAAGTTTTGTCGATAATCGAGAGAATCAAAAACCCAGATATTGTACAAAAACGAAGTTGTTGTGAATGCGTATTCTTTGTACTGTTTCTGGCATGGTGACAAAATGTTCCCATGAGCATTAAATCAACCTCAGCTTTCTGTACCATTTCTCTTATCTTTCACCTATAATATAATGACCATACACATTTGCGCAGCGTGTTTTCTAGACACGACTTGGATACTTACTATTCTAGCAGCGCTCCAGTCGCAGTAGGCTAATGTCACGTCGAATCTGCTCCGGAATCTGACAGCTACGCCAACTTTGATCTCGCCGACGCTCACTCGGTGCTGTTGCTGCTGTTCACTTGTTTTCCCTCGCTTGCCGTGCCAGATGGAGATGACAGATCTAGATGTGTACTCACGGTGAATTAGTGCTGTAAACATTAGTTTCTTACTGTTAGATTATAATAAAAAATACTGTTTTGTGGCCGTTTCAAGCCTCGTTTCACTTCCCACACCAATTGGCGACGAAGTATTGATGATTGGAATCGCGGAAAATTTCGAAAACGAGGTATTATGTATTTTGGATATTACATATCATGTGTCATGAGAAACCATCGGTCGGATTGTCTATCGATCCATCCGCTAATCTTTTCCCCCTGTTTATCTTGGGTTTTGATCAAATTTTGAAACAAGATCACTACTATACCAAAGACGAAATATCTTGTCAGGTTTTGATAATCGATCCAGTGAGGTCCAGAACTATGGGGACAAAACGAAAAAAAAATCGCCCAGGCTTCGTTTTTTGACGTTCCAAGCACTACCGATCATTCTTTTTTATTTTTTCATACATATATTCGGTTGCTCCTAAGACTAAAAAAACGATAGACATTTTTAATACCATCATCAAGCGCAACGAAGATAGAGGTTAAATCTGTCGAATGTAAAGATTGTATAGTCGTCAACCTGGCTCTTCAATTCCCCAGAAATTCGTAGTCAACGGCGTTAACTAACTTATTTCTCTTGAAAGATGATACTTGATAATGTATTGATCGGAGTTCAATGTAACAATGTAAGATTTAGAGGTCTTTAGCGATATGACGTAATGGCAGTCTTACTCATTTCTAAGAGGGGCTAACTTGCACCACAGCGTTGTAAATACTTGTCATCTTAATCTTACTTTCTAAGCCACTGGCGGCAAAACATTGTAGTCGCGAAAATGAGATATTGTTCTTTGAATGTTATATGACATGCACATCACGAAAAAACATTTCCGTCGGTATGTCTGTCTGTCGGCCTGTCTGTCTATCCGCTATTATTGGCCTGTCTATAACATGGGAAGTACCCCACTAATTTTGATGAAATTTCCTCACAAGAGTACTACTTTCCTTTCTTTTTTTTTTGAGGTCTAATCACCCATGGGTTACCGTGTGGCTATAGGGGGATACAGGAGAAAAGGAGGGACGCCACACGGACTCTGGCGAGGGAACATGTGTGCATCCAACATGCACACATTCTGGCCCCGTCTACGAGATCCGCCGGGTGGTACCTCCGCGTTCGACAGTCAGAGACCGTCTACTACCTACAGAGTATCACAACATCCATAGCCAAGAGACAAATTTTTCCTTCTGCTGCCTAAGGACAAGAAAGCTTTGTTCCTTTAGAAAATCGACCCAGTGATGGCGGAGAACAACAAAAATAAAAATCGCTCAGTCTTCGTCTTTTGACGTTTCAGGAGATCCTAATAATTTCCAGAAAAAAAATTGCAGAGTTGTAAATTGGATGTTGGGTGTTGTAGAGGTGGGGTAGAGTACATGTGAATTTTTGGTGCTAGCAATTTATACGTTTTCAACACCGGTAATTCTACGTACCTACTGGACATATTTCATACATCGTAGATTTCTCCGTGTTCGCTCTCCGGACAAGTTAACAAGCGTACGTCTGCCTGCTTCGAATGCTGAGGAATTTGTGTATGTACTATTGGTAGAGCGGTAGGCTAGATCGCAATGTTGTCAAATATGTGTGGACCATAGACTACTTTTTTCTAATAGGAATTGACTTGCCCTGAATCTAATCCTTTATGAATTCACGACAGCGTTGCATAGGAAGTTCAGGGTAAAGTACACACGATTTTTCTATCACCCCCAAAAACCTGTAAGGAAATTCTGGTAGAAAACTGAAAACTGAAGGTTTTAAAGGAACTAACGTAGAAGCTAGAACTGATCCCTGTTGAACACCCGATCCGATATTGCCGTTTTATTCTTTTACAGTGCAGTAGATGCTGCAATTACAACTCGTGTAACGTGCAATACACATTAAAAGATCCCTATCATGTAAATTAACGAAGTTTTCCACCCATTCTTCTACTGCTTCAGGGAATTGGACAATAAAACAATTTCGAGAGATTGTTGATGCTTATTATTCTAGTGATACTTTAAAGGCAGCGAAGTTACCTACACCGTTGTCCATGATAATCCAATGAATAACTTGAAAGGCCAATAGGCTTGGCTTTTTACTTTCCACATGAGGAAATGCTATAAGCGCGAAATATTTCGAAATCATCATATTATAACGTGTTTTATACATTACAACACATGTGCATCAAGCCTTTCCAAGTTGCTACCATTTCAAGGACAAAAAAGCTTTGTAGATTTTGGTAAAATTGGCATAGTTCTAGCGTAGCTATAAACTAAACTTTTCAGATCGTCTCCTGGCTTCGTTTTTCTAAACAAAATGATTGATGCTTTTCAACATTCTGATCCATTTAGAGCTTAATCATAAAATCGATTTAATATGATAATAACGTGTTTGATATACATGCAAGTGGCGAAAGTCTCGTCTGAATTCGACATTATAGTATTTAGAAATAAGAAAAACAAAAAAAATGTAAAAGTAACATACTGGTTTTCATTTTGGCTGATACAGGTGTATTTTTTAGTTCTTTTGGCCATTATATAGAGGTATTCAAACAGTTTGCTTCCGAAAAGGAGTTACATCATTTATATTCTCAAGTGATCCGTTTTTATACATGTTTCTCTTAATCTGATCTAAGAAAAAAGAAAGAGCAAGATGCGCCGAAAGTTATAAAATGTTAATATGCCAGATTCAGAGCATTGATAGCCAGTGGGAAGGTACCGAAAAATTTACATAACACTTGTTATTCGTCGCCTAGAAGCTATTCAACAAACTGATAAACTTTGACCCAATGCATGTATAAGAAAGAACTCGGTTGTTCACAGCAGCCTTCGAGGCATGTCAATTGGAGCTGGGCCAAAACGTTGCTTCTGGTGATTTGATTCCATTATTCTGATTTGTTCAGGATGTTGATTCATGTATATCCCAATTCCGACTTCGATTCTTTTCGCAAAATCGGCTGTGAGTGCAAAGGAACGACACCGACATCGTCGGCTTCAATGTTTGGAGTTGTAGTGATAGAGTGCATTATCTGGAACATCGATGCATACTGAACGAGCGATGCTTTAGATGCAATCGAGAATCCAGCCTGGCATAATTTATAAAAAAGTATCCATTTGGTGGCCAACATCCCCCATCTCTTTAAAATTATGAAGAAGGCATTGTTGGAAGTTATGTTTGTTGCGAAAGAATATTTTTCAATACGGGAAATATGTATACAGAAAGAAGATACAGTTTAACGGCTAGTAAAATCACGAAAATTATGTTTTTAAGCTTTAGCTTAAAGTTGAAACTTATAACCTGTGGTTAAAAATTAACTCCAAGGTTCGGTTTTTCAGTCGCAGGTTAGACCTTGGTCTTAACTTACACTTATCTATGAAAATGCATTTTTCAATATCATGTTTACAGTAAAACGGTAGTTAACCAGAAGACCATCTATGAGTTATATAGAAAAGCCGTAGTTAAATAACAATACCTGACGTTTGTTGACACAGACTTTGGCATTTATTCAAAAAAATCACAAACTCATATCGATTAATATAAATATAAATTAAGATTGAAACATATTTATGGATTACGACGTGACGAAATTGGACAATCTGGACTTACTTGCAAGATTTCATCTTACAAAAAGAACTGTAGAAACAGAACTTTTCTCTTTCAAGCAAACTGAGTCACTTTTTTGCTCTCTGTTATGCTTTTGTTTTTACTGACCAATATTACAAAGATCATTTCCTCATCTTTTGAGAAAGTCTGACCTTTTCTTAATGTTCTCTTCCTACACGCTAGAAAACAGTATTTGATAAATTTTAGCATCAGGAATAGCCGTTTTTTCTCCGCTGCTGAAGACCTCAATTTTTAGGTCATGGATTATGTAAGTGATGCCAAAAAGGTAACGAACACGATGTTTAACAGAATTTACTTACAACTTAGTTGTATTTTTATCGTGTCTTTTGACCTATGTAAGGTTGACTGATTGATAGAACACGATATCTAAGAACCACAGAACCAGGGTTGCAACATAAGTATATGATGAACTTCTGTAAGTTGACTGGCAGTCAAAATACTTGAAAAATGCATTTGCAGGCAAACACAAGTTAACTTCCTGGTTATAGTTATCTAACCAGAAAGTTAACCCGGGCCTAAGGATTTTGTTAATACTTACTGTTTACGTGAAAAAATATATCTTTTTATTATTTTTATGTGACATTGTTAACAAGAACATGCTGTTTATTTGGCTGGTTATTTTTTTGTGACATCGATTAAAAAAATAATAACGATAACAACACGATTATTCAAAAATGTCTTCACAAAATTTTCTCCAATATTGGTATACAGGGTTATCCAAATTAAGTGTCCACCATTAGTAACTTTGTTATTAGTGAAAATACAAAGTTGTTTGAATTAGCAAACTAGTAGCATTTTTAACGCTGGTAAAAATGAGAAATAAAAAAAACAATTGAGAGTCGTTATTTTGATTTTTTTCAGTAAAATAACATTTTTTTAAATGGAAACCCCTGTATATTATATTTTTTTCTGTTAAAGCATCAAATTTTAAACAAAAAAGTTCATAATGACTTTTCCGCTAAAGTCAAAAATAAAGTCAAAATAACGATAAATATTTTTAATTATTTGCAGTATTATAATATTACGACGGCTATGAAAACAACATGGCGTTCGCGATTTGACAGCATTAAGATAAGCGACAAATTGTTAAACTGGACATACTCGCAACTAGATGGCTTTGGAAAACAATGATAAAATCAAATAATGTCAAACATTAGTGTAAATACTTGTTTATAAGCTTTATTGTGTCATTAATTTAAAGAAAAATGTTCTCCCATGAAGAAAAGTGTGATATGTTAGAATGCTATTTAGTGTGCAGAAAATCCTCCTTGAGAGCAAGAGAATACTACAGTGAATTATATCCCGCTCGCATTCAACCGTATGAACGATATTTTCTGAGACTTTATCGAAAATTTAGGGGCAACGAAAATGTTTTTGCTAAAACAAGGGCAAAAAAAGAATTCATAATAAGCGAGG